TTTTTTTTTTTTTTTTTTTTTTTTTTTTTTTTTTTTTTTTTTTTTTTTTTTTTTTTTCCATCTCTCTCGTATACCTTATTTAACTATACATAAATACGCCTGACTGAGCATTTTCGATGAACGTCGCATGCGTCTGTGCATATGTTATACATATATAGATTTTAGATGAGTACGCCTTGACAAAAATAGTGTGATGGTTTGATGCGAAAGCATAGTACGAGTATATTTTTTAACTGGCTCTTAACCGTCGTCACGCAGGTAAGGCAAAATTACATTTTGATAAAATTAAAACTTGAAATATACATATCGATTGACCATTACTGTTGCGGTGTACACTCGACTGGCCCTATACAATCCCTACAATGGAAGTTAAAAACAGTTGAGTGTACACTAAAAAAGGTGCCCTATGGTATCATGTGGAGAAGTGATAGCAATCAGAAAAAAAAAAAAAAAAAAAAAAAAAAACCCGATGGTGTCTCCCTGCACGACAGATTACACGCTGCTGGCGAGCGAGCAGTTGACGAGCGGCGGCGCGAGCATCACCGATTGGGTGTCGTCGACAGCCGGGCCAGCGGCAACCTCGACAGTGTCAACGACGACGAGCCCGAGCGCTATGGAGTACCCACCGAAGCCGGGCCTGACGGGGCCCTACATAATGCCCATGCCGATGCCCATCGGCCCGTACAACGGGATCGAGGCAGCGAGCAAAAAGCCCCGGCTGGGCATCATCGAGCTGGTGATCTGCAACATCGGCGCCATGCTCGCGAGCATCGCCATGGACTTTGACGTGCGGCTGGCCAACGTATCGCCCGTCCACCCCAGGTTGCACGCGAGGCAGTTGACGGCGCACGGGGGAGACGACGAGACTTCGACTACGGGGACCGCGGGGACGTCGAGGTGGTGGTCCGCGCAGTCCGACGCAAACAGGGGCTCGAACTACCTGGGACCGGAGTACGAGTTTAGCTCCACCAGCGGCTACGCGCACAATACGTACCACGGACCGGCCAAGCATTGCAGGTCAGCCAACTTTCCTTTTTTTTCTTTTTTTTTTTCTTTGATTCTTCCTTCGCGAGGAGGACCGTGATCGTCTTCGTTCCCAAGAGAGTACCGATTTTTTTTTTTTTTTTTCTCCGCGACGATTCTCAAAGTGCATTTTTCAAGTATTATTTATTGTTGATCTATACACTATTGTTTTTCATACAATATAAATACTTACATTTTTCACATGATTGGAAAAAAAAAAAAAAAGAAAAGAGCTTTAGCAGGTGCCTATATACCCGTTAAATTTTAAACAATAGATTCTACAATGATTTTTATTCGTGCAATTTACAAGGTTTATGTGACGCACGGAGTGAAAATTGTGAAAATTTCAGTTGGAAGATTTGTTTATTTTGATTAATTTAATTCTAACTGGATCGAGGGGCCTTAGGACGATATCCGCCATCAATTTGATATCGCTCGTTCGGTCGATGGGTTCCAAGTAAAAATCGTACAAGATCCGCCCGATCAAAGACTTCAATTCCATCACGGCAAATTTTTGGCCTGAAAAATAATGTCAATCGCTCAAGAGTCGAGGGTTTTTTTTTTAAATTTATTTATTAATCGTACCCACCTATGCAGTTACGCGGTCCCGCGCTAAATGGCACGTACGCGAAGGGATGCCGGTCCTTGCTCCGTTCGAATAAAAATCTGTCGGGGTCGAATTTTTCAGGATCCGCCCAAAAGTTCGGATCCCTGTGCGTATCGTACAAGTGTATCATTATGTGCGAGTCAGCAGGTATGAGCGCGTGTTCTAGAGATGGATGTAAAATTACCTAAAATGTGTGTAAAAAAAAAAAAAAAAAAATTTACAAAAAATTGTAAGCTGCAATGCGTTACTCAATTGCAATTCTTCTCTCGTGTAACGGACTAAGGTAGCAACTGGTGGGAACAGCCGAAGGGTTTCTTTGATGCATCTTTCGAGGTAATGAAGGTCCTGTAGGTCCGACATTTTTATCTGCCCGTCGTTTTTATCCAACACCTCGGTGACTTCGGCTCTTGCTAGATCCTGCGGATAAAAAAACTTTACCATTTTTCGTGGGTGAAAGATCTTCGTGACGATCGTACCTGGGCCTCTTTGTTTTCAGCCAGTAACAGTAGCGCAAAAGTCATGGCCATCCCAGTGGTGTCGTGAGCCTAAAATTAACAGTAAAAAGGATTTTTCCCCCCCACAAAGTATATCAGTGCATAAGATTTGATGTTGCGCTTACTTCGAACGTAAAAGTATCGACTTCTTCCTTGACTCCGTTGTAGTCGATCAGACCTTTGTATTCGGCAGCCAGTAGGAGGTCGAGCATCGCCAATCGTTTCTTTTTTCCTGAAACGTCCAATCGATCATCGACAATAATTTTAAATACCTGTACTGTTTACAGGTGCACGAACTTACGAACGTCAATTTCGTCCCACGTATCCTTTTCAACGTTTTCGAGGAATTCCTTCAAGTACGTGTTTTCGGTTCGCTTGTGGTAGTCTTTTCGATCTCGTATTACCTACTCAAAGTGCAAAGTATGTATTTAATGAACAATTAAACTGACCGTGAAAAAGTAAAGATATACTTTGTCCGTGAATCCATGTAATATCTTGACGGCGTTCCTCTGGACACGTCCCATTTTCCAAACGAAATTCATCATCCAAGTTGTTATGTAAGGCCGAGGCATCCTTTAATATTTCGTATGAATTTTTTTTTTTTTTTTCGTTCAATAATATTTTTTACAATCAAATAATACACACACACACACACACACACACCTGTAAAGAACAACATTGCCCATGTCGTGAACTGCTTTTTTATACTCGTCGACAATTTTACCATCGATCGTATCCAAACCGACACCCATGGCTGATTCTAAAAGTACAATTTTACATGATGTAATTATTTATAACAAACGCTGAAAATTCCGTGAGTTCCGCCTTCAATAAAATCAGTACCACATATGATGTTCAAAGTACATTTCGAACAAAATGGCACGAGACTTTTTACGATTTCCTTGTCCTCGTTTTCTTTTTTCAGTTCATCCATGAATTTTTTTCCTTCCTCGTTCGTTATTTCCATGTACTTTTTTAATATGCTAAAATGAAAGGCCGGCGTCAAAATTTTTCTCCTGTGACGCCATTTGCTACCTGATCGGACAGTAGTTGTGAACGTAAATCACATGAAATATATTTAAAAAAATTATCGCATAAAAAACCGACGAGCCACCTGTACTCGTGAGTAAACCGGTTTTCAGCCAAGGGTGAAGGTACTCGTAGATGTAGCCTTTGTCGATGAATTTTGGACTCGTGAATAAAATTTCCAAATCATCTGGGTGAAGCACACTAATAACGGCTGTTCTACAAAGCCAAAATCGCGTTATAGGATAGTACTTTTTCGTTATTTCTCGACCTACTTTCCAAAATTCATCTAAAAACATTATCATCATTGTACCAATTGAGAAAAATACACAACACACATATTAGGCGTCTTTTTTTTATTAGGAAAATATAAAAAAAAAAAAAAAACACTCACGTAAACAATTAACGTTAAATTTGAGTCTCGTATACCTTATTTAACTATACATAAATACGCCTGACTGAGCATTTTCGATGAACGTCGCATGCGTCTGTGCATATGTTATACATATATAGATTTTAGATGAGTACGCCTTGACAAAAATAGTGTGATGGTTTGATGCGAAAGCATAGTACGAGTATATTTTTTAACTGGCTCTTAACCGTCGTCACGCAGGTAAGGCAAAATTACATTTTGATAAAATTAAAACTTGAAATATACATATCGATTGACCATTACTGTTGCGGTGTACACTCGACTGGCCCTATACANGTGCAACAATGTGGTACTCTGAATGATACGATTTCATTTTACATACTTAGCACCAAAAGTTAAATCAAACTTTGTCATAGTATTTCTCATCTGATTAAAAATTTATTACTTGAATCTTGTTTTTGATGTGAAAATATAAAAAAAAAAAAAAAACTATCACGTAAACAATTAACGTTAAATTTGAGTAAATTTCCGACGAACGGATATGCAAATGGTCCGGGTATTTTACGTAAAATTCGTCCCCTTCTGTTGTAACGGGTTACAACGTGGAAGACCACGGGGCCCGCAAAAAGCAGCAATATCAGATATATTGTCATTTTATTATTATTTTATTATCACCATGAACTAGTTGGCAAAATTTGTATCATAACTTTTTTTTTTTTTTTTTTTTACACAAGAAATTAAAAATCAGTGGTAGAAACGTTCCAGGAGTCCACGAACAATCTGGCGTAGCCTTGTGTTGTCGTTCGTTTTTATAGGTAACGTTCACAGCTGCGTCTAATTTTCGCGCAGAAAAATCGCAATGTAATTTTCGTGTCTAAAAGAAAACTTAACGTGAGTACCTACGTCATGTACATACCAAATAAAATTTGCAGACTCTATGCAAATCATATAAAATATATTTGTCCAAATGTTTATCTCTTCTTTCTCTCTTGCCTTAGAACTTCATGTAAATTAAAGAAAGGCAAATATATATTATATGCTCCAACGTAACATAAAGTATTATTATTTAAATGTTTGCTGTTATGACTGTTTTTTATTTAAACATACAAGTTATTTCAAACATTGTTGTTTTTTCATTAAAAGTTACTGTAGCTATTTTTTTACGTTTTTACTTTGTCAATCGCGTACGAAATTGTTTCGTCGGAACGAAGGTTGAGGAGAAGAGCAATTTAGCCCCTGAAACAGTCCGAGGAAAAAGTCCCGAGGCCAAGATACTGATGTTTTGCGTAATTAGACTCGGCAAAACCTTTCTGTTCCTCTAAAGAAAAGTGTAACTTTTTTTTGTTGTGAGCCACAATTTGCTCGTATTTAATTACCAAAACTGTTTGTTTCTTTTTTTTTATGTTATTTCTTTTTTTTTTTTTTTTTTTTTTTTTTTTTTTTTTTTTTTTTTTTNAATCTGCATAAATGTATAGCTTTATTAATATAGATTCGTATTGTTTAATTTTTTTTTTTTTTTTTTTTTTTTTTTTTTTTTTTTTTTTTTTTTTTTTTTTTTTTAATACATCACAGCAAATACAAAAAATTTTTACTCAATTTATCGTATACATTAGAAGTTTCAAATAAATAATCACTTTAATTTGTTGTAATTAACTTAGTATAAACCTATACTTCGGTGCTGGCATTGTACAATGTCTTTTTATCAGTTTTGTACCTCAAAATATATAAACAGGCTCCAGATGAATATTTTACAACAATCCAGTGAACAAAAAAACAAATCAATAAATCTGAATATCCGTTTGGCCATATTAATAGCATTACCATGTATTATTATTATTGTGGTTCCAAAATAATATGCATTTCAACTGTTGCCATTAATTATTTTTATATTATTATTATTATACATGTTACATAATAATTATTTCTACGTACGAAAGAAATACACGCACGCACATAAAAGTTAAAGGCATGAACATTCTCTCGGATACCCCTACAGAAAAAGTTGGGGCGAGGAAATTATGGTAAATGGTCGGGTTTTTATTAAACAACTGTGATTTGAAGGGCTAAAGTTACATATCCTTTGATGATAAATATTAAGCGCTACACCCAAAAACGAATGTCAAACAATGGCTCTTTCCAGGCCATTCCTGAGCAGCATGAGCGGCATCCCAGGGGTGCACCCGGCCTCGAACCTCCTGGTGGAGAAGCCCCTCCGTTTCACGGACTCGCCCCAGCACTACCCGTCGAGCACGGCCGGTGGCAGCGCGACGGGCTCCAACGCGCCGACCCCGAGCCCACGCCGCAAAAACTCGACGGCCAGCATGAGCGAGCAAAACTCTTACTCGTCCGAGCTGTCCAGGATCGACAGGCTCGCCCCACCGGCTTACGCCTCCCAATCCGGTTACTCGGATTACGGGCCGCCCGTCTACTCGATACTCCACCCCCAGCACGACTACTTCAGGCCCATCGAGCCCGGTTATCTGGCGCCCTCGGATTACCAGTAGGTTATCCTCAACGTCAATTATAGCCATCGCATGATATTGTATATCCTCTGAGCGTCGAACCAAATACGTTTTAGCGACCCGATGCTCGAGTGCGCCGAGTTCCCGCACGCCTACGACAATCCGAGCAGCGTCAACAGCCCGGCGCGCACGGCCAACCGGCTGCCCTCGTACACGCACCACCGGACTCCGTCCAACGTGTCCACGGCCAGCACCTCGTCCCAGAGCAACGTCAACCCGAGTTTCAGGCTCGAGGACGAGGCCGATTACTCGTCGCTCTACTCGCCCGGGCACTCGCTGGTCCGTCAAACGACAATACCACCCATCACTGACAATCACCAGGCCATCCGATCTCATACCGATCTCTCTCTTTTTTTTTTTCCCCACGCAGGGCTATTACCGGAGCCACCACTCGAGCGCAGCGCCCATGCAGAGCTCGGTCGGTAGCTACGGCAGCTCGATCCTCGCCAACCACGACTACGGCCCCGGTCTCCACTACCTGACCTCCCGGCATCAAAACTCCCACGAAGCGAGCCACCCGAATTCCATCGAACGACCGGCCAACCTCGACATCACCACGAGGCTGCGCTCGAGCCTCAAGCGCTCCAACTACGCGTACGGCTCGCCAAACAGGAGCGCGAGCAGAAACAACTCTGGATCCGGTGGGTGTTGGCAGATTCCCTCCGGGTGACGATGGCCGCTTATAGCGTGACGTTGATTGTTGACAGGCACGCCGACTAATCCAACGCCCCCGGACTCGCTGACTTCCGAGGACTCGAGCTACGTGTCGGCCAAGGATGGCCAGATATCGTTGGGCCGAGTGCGCTTCTCCCCGGTGACGTTCGACCGGGAGCTCCTCCAGACGCCCGTGCAGGAGCTGACCAGTCCGTTGCAGTTGCAGGCAACCTCGCGCGCCAGACTCGCCAGCCAAACATCGAGGAACCGCAAGCCCAGCATCACCGAGCTGGACCGGGATTTTTTGTCTTAGCACTGGCTCATCTAAGTCCAAGTGACGACCCGGAATCGTCGTTGCCTTGGTGATACTCGCGCGGTCATTACATGCGTTGCTTTTCATTGCCCGCTATATATTTCTTCCCCTACCCCACCCCACCCCTCTCTCTCTCTGTGTAGGTATGTGTTTCCGGGGTTGCTCGTTGCCGAGCGATTCGAGCTTGTAAGTGAGAGAAACCTACTTTTTTCCATCATTTTTCAAACTTTTTGGGCTGCTGGGAAGTGCCTTAATTTTACGTTGCTAGCGCGTCAGAATAATGTATAATCGGTGTACTTGTCAAGGGCAAAGCTTTTATTGTGGAAAAAAGAAAAAAAGATTTGTTGGTATACATATGGATCGTTCGGCAGCGGGCAGAGTTGTTTTGCGTGACGCGTTGCTCGAGTATATACTTACTCCTACTGCCTTTTCTGCGATGGGCTGACGCGTGTAGGGTAGCTGTCGCAGATCATCATTCCTTGTGAGGAATTGTGCAACAATTTCCAACATTCCATATATTTTTTTTTTTTTTTATTTTCCTCGCGGTGGCATTGAGATTCGTGTAGGTATAGCGGGAAATTCCATTTCGGCGATGAGCAAAGAGTCGTGATGGAAACTTTTTACTTGATTGCTCGTCGAACCGTTTACCTGTACTTGCATTTCGATAAGCAATCCTTTGGCATTTTTTAGCTTGTAACTTTTGAAGGGGATTTTTTAGCTTCAATTTCATCGTGATACGACATTCCAGAATTACGTGTGGCTGAGTGTTGATCGAATTGTACATGTGTGGCGAGTCGACTTTTTTCCTTCGCTCGTCTACTTCTTGCATTTGTATGAAAAAAAAAAAATAAAAAAATAATCGTTGTACCTTAGACCACGAAGAAGCGACGTTTTCGCTTTACTGACTTTTATTGTCTCTCTTGTACGTACAAGGGAACATTTTAATCGCATTTTTTTATCCCCCCCCCCCTTACTTTTTCATTGTATGATATTGTACAGTGAACCATGTGTTTGTACATTCGTCAAAGTCGAAATGAATGATATTGAATTTACGTCGAAAACAATAGGCTTCGCATTTTTTTTCGGCGATACTCGCAATCTGTGCGTTCTCAGTTTGCGCATATAACATGTGTACGTAAAAGCTTAAGCTGTGGAGAGAAGGAGTAATAAATTTGGATTATCGGAGTAACGATATTTCATTGGTAATCAGTATTTACATTTAACAAATTTTAAGTGAACGATTGTTGTTGAAACTGTATGCGAAATCGGTATTGCGTAAAAAGGATCTTTTCCCAATATTTACCATACAAATGCGATGTTTGACGATTAGTTAGCATTTAATTGTACATACAATCAAGATATAGTCGCACAAATGTTGTTCGTGTTTCTTTGCCGATTTTATTTTTATTTTTCTGTTTATCATTCGTTTGAAATATAGTTGAATGTGTACATACAGGCAAGCATCAGTATTTTGTGCTATTTAACTAAATCGATGCACATGTATGCAATGCAAACGCTGTTCTCGTTCACTTTTTCAGAACTAATTTGGTTGAAAAAAAAATTTTTTTTTTTCGAAAGAGTTTTGAGCAGAGCATTTACCAACTTTTATGAATTTGTTTGTTATTTATTTACAAATAAGTCGAGAAACTTTCATGAATGCTTGGAACTCCTAAAAATTAATAAATTGTTTTATTTATTAATCACATGCAATAAAAAACCCTCCTGCGAAAAAAAAAAAATAGCAAAACAATTTATTTAATTCGGATGATTTATATTTCTTTGTATCCGAATATATGTGTACTAGCGTGATAATAAGCATGTATCATTAGCGAAAAAATTATGGGTATTATTACATTGTACTGTTAAGAAAGTTTAAACGTTATAATTTTCATTAAAATTTATTCGCTGAGTCGTGATACGTATACCCTTGAAATTAATGTTAAGAAAAGCTATCGATGTTACAGAATACTTTTATATCTATGGTTAATCTGCATAAATGTATAGCTTTATTAATATAGATTCGTATTGTTTAATTTTTTTTTTTTTTTTTTCTACCAACCATAATTTTACGGTCAAAGAAAATTGATGCCAAAGAAATTCCGATTCGTGAATAACTTGTCTCGATTGTTTTTAAAATCACCAATTTAGGGCAAACAACCTAAATGACTGACTATGGAAATTGGATGAGAAATATATTTTAGGATAAAAAATACCCCTTCTTTTGGTCTTTGTACTGATTGAAGGGACAAGAATTGCGGTACTAGTAAAATTTTCGAAACGATAAGTAATACGATTGGCCAAGATATTAGACAAATAAGAAAGTATGCAAAATTTAGGAAAAATGCTTCGATAAAGATGATTTTCTTTTTTGAAAACTCTTACGGTAGTCTATGTTATTAACAATCATTAAAAATATATATTAGCTATTATAATGAATTGTTGACAAATTAATAATTTTTGCGAATACATGCTCGGCAGCCAAAAAATTAACTTTTGAGTTACATGCATGATTTTACAAAGTTTAATTTATTTATTTATAATTTTGTTGCCACCCGTGCTAGTCTATATCAGTTATATTTATTTTAAAACACAATGCTTAAATAATATATTATTTATTAACCTCACGAATCAATCATGTTAACGTATACTAAAAAAAAAAGGTCTAGATGTTATGGTAATTTTCTAATTAACATTGTTTAATAGACCGTAAATCATACCGTAAAATTTTTTTGTAAAGTAACAAATTCTCAAATAGATTTTTTATTTTTGTTAACACTCAAAGTGCAACGTACTTACATTAAATATAGGAAAATGATAAATTAGAATATTATGCGATAAATTTATTATTTATCGAATGGCTTATTATAAAATTGCTTAGCAAAATACATATACCTAGAACGTGTTGGCAGAGTGAAAAGATGATGGATGCTTTTGTGGTAATTGAACGAAAAAATAAATGAGTATTTAAAAAATCGCTTATTGTAATTTGTGCAATTCGTACGATACGACGCGACCAAAACGATTGAATATATATGGCTTAATTCGATATAGGATATTTGTACTATGATAAATTTTTTAAATGCAACAACTTTATCACCTATCGGTGATATTTTTGACAAAGTTGTTGGCTGTATTTTATGAAAAAATGTAAAAGCAAAAACGACGTAATTTATAGGTACTATTTTTTTTTCTTTTTGATAGTATAGTAAATTTTGATATTCTAGTTGCCAAAGTGGCAAACTAAACTCTAAACTTTTTCAAAATTACTTTAACAACTGAATGATAAAAAAAAAAGAAAAAGTATGTTCTCGGTGAGAAAATTGAAAAAGTAAATTAGATGGTAGTGCATATCTTTTTACTAACTCTATGGCTAACTGTATTCGATTATGTATTTGTTATTTCGAAATGTCAAACAGGTTTTTTATATAAAACAACAAAACTATGAAAATGTTTATTAGTTTTTATACACCTAATTAGGAGAATCATGTAAATTAGATAAAACAAATTAACACCAATATATAATATAATTTGGAAGGAAAAAAAATATATTCGACGACAGACGAGAAGAAATAGTCATGTTAAGTATGAAAACTGCGAGGAGAAAAATGATGCAACATGAAAGTTTAGCTATAAGTTTCGAATCGATCGTCGATTTTCTCGAGACAAACAACTACTTTTCACACACTACCTGATGACAAAGTAATATTTTAGATTTCACATCAGCTATGATAATCAGCAATCCAAATAACTATAAATCGACCCACTTTTACTAAGAGTAACTAAGAAAAAAACGCGCAGGAAAAGAGAAAAATCTCAAGCACGTGTGGACTTGTCATTATATTAGCGAAAGAAAAATAGAGAAAGAATTTAATATGATTACAATAATTGTGTAACGAGGGGATCCAATATAATCTAAAAGAAAAAAAAAAAAGGAAGAAACTAAGATAATAAAGAAAATTCTAACGGCGCGTATTTAGAGCTTTAGGGTGAACCTATTTATTTATTTATGCTATTGAAATTATTGAGTAGATGAAAAAAAGTTGATAAATACAGTTATGCAATGTGTTCTCTATGTACATGTGCACTGTGAGCGAGTAAACGTTTTTATTTGTACGCCTTGTCAAATGAAACATGTGAGATATTTATTAACAAAAAATAATAATAATAAATAAATTATTATTGAAGACAATGAATACATCTGCATTTCGAATGTAACAAAAGTTTTAACTATTATTATTACTATCATTATTATTATTATTTGAAATACTTATTCTGAAAAATGATACGATTTTCCATTCATTTTTTTTTTTTACCAATAATCAAAAGATACAAAATTAAATATTACAACAACATATATAGAGGCACCCAAAACATGGAACGTACGTGTTATTTAAAAATGCTCTTACTTATGCATTAGCTGATTTACAAAAATTTTTTATATTACATCTTGACATGGAAATACTTATGTAGATACGTAATAATGATGATAATAGCAATAATAATGTGAATGATGATGGTTTTTTATGATCAAAATGCTTTGTCCTGTTAGAGTTTTCTTCCTCTCTTGCATATACTTTCAAAGATGATCATTTAATGGAAATGATGTGCCACGCACATTTCTTTTGTTATATACCTCTAGTTTGAATTTTTTAGCCGAATCACGGAAAAACCATACCGACATTTTGCTAAACTCGCGAAATATACATGTTAAAAATCATGAAAAGGAAAATAACGAAATGACAAAGCGTTGTCTGTCTGACCTGCATATATTGCAACTGGACCTGCAAAATTCGTGTATTTTTCCATATATGTATTGTACATTAAAATTATAAATAATAACTGTACGGCGAACAAATGAAACAAACAAATTATAAATAGTACTATAAATTAATACACGATGATTGTAATATTGAAATCGCGAATTGTAGGCCGCAACTGGTTATGAATAAACTAACAGTTTCAAATAACACGCCATAAATAAAAGGCTTTTTACTCATTGTTTCCCCTAATATATAAATCGAAAATTTTCGTAAACATCTGACAATCGTCAATAAACACACACGGGGCCTTGAAAAATGTGACATTTTAACCAAAAACAAGCCCATTCCTGTACATAAAAACCTCGAAAATTTATTTATTTCTCCCACCATGCCCCGGTACACCTTCAAGAAGATAAATGTCGTCGAAGAAGACTTTGGCGAAATATTTGCAGGTAAGCACCAAACTTTTTAAACAAAGATCTCGAAGTAAAAGAATGGCTTTGGGCTCAAGAAACCTGCGACAGCGAGTCGATCAGGCCGGGCTCGAGTTTCTGCTCCGCGTACGGCGAGGGCGACTCCCTTCGCAAGCCCAACGGCGAGCAAATCACCATTAAATCATTCACGATGACAAACTCCAACCGCATGGAGGTGAAGCTCATCACTTGGGGCGCGACCATCGTCTCCGTCAAGTGCCCGGATAAGTACGGCGACGTTGCCGACGTCGTTCTTGGGTTCGACGACCTGAAAGGTACATATATTATACATATATCGTCTGTCTGATCGGTAAATAACGTATATTGTTTTCACCGGCCGTTACTCGGTTTAGGCTACCTGGACCCCACCTTGAATCAGTTCGTGGGCTGCGTCCTCGGGAGATGCGCCAACCGCATAAGGGATGGTACCTTCAAGTTGAAAGGCAGCGATTACGTTTTGACGAAAAACGAGTCGAAGAGGCACCACTTGCACGGCGGAGTGCGTATATTTTACATGTGACTTCCGAGTCAAGAGCCAATAATGTCACACTTTGTGGTAATCGCATATGTGCATGCAATAGACAAACGGGTTCGGTCGGCGGATCTGGGAGTCGCACGTGGACGAGAGCTGCTGCGTGGTGATGAGTTATTTGAGCCAGGACGGGGAGGAGGGCTACCCGGGCGCGGTGCTCGCTACGCTCAAGTTCAAATTGACGAACGACAACAGGCTGGAGATCAGTTGCCGGGCGAGCACTTCCAAACCAACGGTCGTCAACTTGTCCCACGGATCTCTGTTCAATTTGGCTGGACACGTAATCCTTTTTCTCTGGTTTGTTCATCATATTATTGAATAATCATCTGGTGAAAAAATCGGTGGTGTTACATGTTAGTGCGCAGGGGAGGCGGAACTAAGGAAACATCAGATCTTGTTGAACTGTGATCGTTGGACGGTTGCCGATTCGAACGATGACCCGCCCATACCGATCGGAACGATTCGCGGCGTCGGGGGCACGATAATGGATCTGCGGGTACCGAAGCTCCTCGGAGACGTCATTGATGCAGTATGGGTTTCCTTATTTTCCAGGCTAACCGTGACCATTACAGCTGTTTGAGCTTTTTCCATGTAACGACAAGGTTCCAGGATCCAAAGGTTTCGAGCACAACTTTTGCGTCCTCGCGAGGCGCTCGCAGCCCGAAGTTTTGTTCGTCGCTAGAGTCTTTCACGAGCCAAGCGGCAGGTTGTACACATACAACATACGTATATGAATAAGTACCCGCAGGATGAAACAATAAAGTATAAGCTCTTTTTGTTACCAGATTCCTCGAAGTTTACTCGGACCAGCCGGGCGTGCAGTTGTACACAGCCGGTAGATTACCACCTTACGAGAACACGTACATCACGGACACAGAGTCGAGTGAGCTGAGCTCGTACGAGTGCGGGGAGGAGTGCGACTGCGAGTCCGAAAAGCCCCTCGAGTTCATACCGGGCAAGTGCGGTGCTCAGTACACAAAGTTTGCCGCGCTGAGCATCCAGCCGCAAAACTACCCCGATGCTGTCAACGTGGTGAGTTGGCTCTTTTTTTTTTCCTTCTCATCTTTGGTCGTCTTTTTTATACGTACATATTTTTATGGTGTACGCACGTGTACAATGTGATTTTTCAGCCGCATTTTCCATGCGCGGTACTGCGGCCGGGCCAAGTTTACTACCACGACTTAGTGTACAAACTCGGGGTCCAGCTCGACTCGCCCGAGTGCAAAATACACTGCTGAACTGATCTTTCGTCCTCGCAATGGTTGCGATGAGGTGTTGTGGTCGATTATTAGCCTTTTCCGATGTCCCATACGAGAGATCGGCAACGATCTTCATTGCCAAATAAAAGAAACTCAAATTATCATTTCGATCCAACTATATATTGTTTTGTTGATTGAGCAATCAACATTACCTCGCGATTGCTTTTCCTCAACTTTGAATTTGCCGCCTTAATGATGTGTGTCTCTCTCTCATGCGGGTGCGTGTGGGGACTTGGGGAGGGGTCAGGGGAGTATGAGGTATGAGGCGTTCATTCCTGAGGGAAAATAGTGTTAAACATTCGAAACTATAAGTAAGCCAGTTCCTGATGTTTTTGTCGAAACATGAAATTCGTCGAGGGAAAGGTTGTGCTCCTTGGCTCTCAAGGTAAGACGATATACGTGCAGCAAAGATATATATTACTCTTGAATAAAACGATAACAAAACATGAAGTTTATCGTTGCACAAGTGTGTCTCTTGCCCATTAATGACTCATATATTGAACGCAGTTGTCATTGAATGCTTTTTTTTTTATTCTTCAAACGAAAACAATGTACGAGTCGTGTTTTACAAAAGCACTTTGGTTAAAATGTTTTTACTGATATTATTTTTTCTTTATATCGTTTACATCACTGCGATGGTATCTCTCTAACACAAGGCCTACTTAGGACACAGTAGGGTAAAACTCGTACAAGATGTGCACACATTTTTTTTCAAGTACAGGTCGTAGTGTCGTTAACAGTAGTCGACTTTATTGTTTAGATCTTTTCGACCCTCTATCAAAGAGATTATGTGAATTATTATAAAAATTTTACTATTAAAAAATTACTTGTTATTGTGTATGAACTTTCGAGAACCACTTATGTGCCCAATGTTTGTTTACACAATGCTGTCCTACATACTTATTTATATACTTGTTGCAAGCGATTGATTATTAAAAATTGTGATTTTCCACAGGAGTTGGAAAGACCAGCTTGATTAACAGATATGTTAATAAAACGTTCAACCCCCATGTCAATCCAACAATAGGCGCCTCATTTTTTACTTGTAAAATCAATTTGGATGAAGCAAGGATTAAAATGCAAGTAAGCGCAATCGGTATTTTATTTAAAAAATGTTTTATCAAGCTTTCCAGTGAAACGTGAAATAATAATTGTGATATTTGTGACTTCAGGTATGGGACACAGCCGGCCAAGAAAGGTTCCGCTCAATGGCACCCATGTATTACCGAAACTCGAACGCCGCGATCCTCGTATTCGATATAACGTCGTACAAGTCATTTACTGCCATAAAATCATGGGTAATCGAGCTCAAACGTAACGTGGAAGAATCAATGGTTCTCGTTCTCGTGGGCAACAAAGTTGACTTAGCTTACAAAAGGAACGTGGACACGGAGGAGTGTATGCGGTACGCTGAGAGCATAAATGCCTCGTACTTTGAAGTTTCAGCCTTGAACGACGAGGGTGTCGACAAAGTGTTTATATCCACTGCCATGTCTCTTTTACGCCTCACCGGCGATCATGAGATCATCAAGACTTTGAAAATTTACGAGAAACGTCAGTCGTCTATTAATGAATCGGATGTGCCTCTCAGCGAAGAAGTGTTCAATACGAGCATTGCTCATGGCATCCATGAGAAGCCGTACTTTTGCTGCTGATTTTTTTTATTAATACTCTTTTTTTTTTTTTTAACCAGCTTCAATGTCATATTTGAATATGCCAAAAAGTACTCAAACATTTAGAAGCCTGAGTTTTTTTACAACAGCCAGCAGTTTTCTATCGTAATGTGAGTTATATTTTTTTCTGTTTTACATGGATGAACAATTTTTCAACAAAATATTAAACTAAAATAGCACAATTCAATTATGTACGTACATATGAATGCATAATAATACTAACAGAACTGAATAGTACAAACAATGAATGGGAAACTAGTTTGCTTCATGTTAAATCATGGAATTTAAACTGACAACTCATAATCTTCTGAATTTAGTTGATGGCATGGCTGAAAATTTGTTTGATAGTTCTAAGGTTGACATAGTTAAATTTCGCGTTGCTCAATTTTAAGCTCAAACAACAAGTTTTTAAATCTTGAAAGACTTTATTATTTTAGATAAATTACGTTTTAGACGAGATTCGAATTTTTTATCTGCTTTATATGTAAATTTAATATGATTAAATTTATTCAATCAAGATGAAACGTTCAAGTGCCTTTGAAAATTGTGTTTGCTAAGCTACTTTATCTTGTAGCCAGCTAAAATTCTGCAAAGACTGACAGCTTTTGTCGAATTCGACGACTTCAACTGAAAATGAAATACTTAACAGATGTATAGCATTTATGTAGATGAGCTTCAATGTAGCATTTGTCGATAATGCTACGTGAATTCAAGCCGGCATACATTTTGCAAGGAATAATAACTTGTAAAAGTATTGATTTTGTAAAGACGGCATAAAGTACCTGACCAATAATAACGTGCGGCTTTTGTGATATTTTTTTACGATTATGTATACAAAGTTTCCGCATGGTGCTGTATCAAGGACAAATGCTAAGAATCAATGGAATATACAGAGTAAGATTTTTTTTTAATAGGTAAGTTTTTGAAGATTACTAAGAAGCAGTAGTTAAGCTGAACTAATACCGATTGTCGTACTCCAGTTGGTACACTATAAGCCTCGACTTTGATATTATAAGAATTTAAGACAAAGTTATTTATGTTAAAACTGAAAAGTCTGTTGAGACTACGAAGGTAATACCTTAATATTGTGTACAATAAATATATTGTAGTTAATAAAAAAAAAAAAATTCACTCAAAAAACCGACTTTTTCATGCCATGAATTTTTGTCTACATTTAAAAAACTTAGATTTATGGTAATGTGATGATTTAAGATACAACTAAGGTTACGAGCTATGTATATAAATACTTTATTACAATTTAAAATGTTATTTTTAACACTAATTTCATTTGTATTTTTTGCTACATCATAGAAAACTATGATTAAAATAATACAATAACCAAGAAGCAACTTACATTAGAAAAGTTGTGAAAAGTCATTATTGAATAAAAATAGGCCGTTTTGATAGATATAACCATCATTGTAAGTACGTATTTAATACATAAGTACGCATCAACGACGCTGATATGCATACTTAGACAGAATAATAATAAAAATTCGCTCATTACTTTTTCAGTCTCTTTGATGTTGTTATCGTCACTCCTTGACTAGCGCAATGCTTGACGTAATCTGTGCCAACGTGATGATGATTTTTATCCTTGTCTTCGTTCTCCGGAGCGCTGCGTTTACGCTGACCAGTTGGTGACAGTTGCTTCAGGCATTCTACGTCGTTAAATACCACCTGGGCACCTCCACCACTCGTTGGCAGAATGTCAGCCTTTAAAAGTTTAAAACAATATTGAAATGACAAAATTAGAATGGAGAACAATATTTTTTGTTTGACGTTTAGGACTAAAACAAAGTACCTTGTACAGTTTTGTTTCAAGCTCGCCCTCAGAATCGTGGTTCTGAGCCGTTAGGCAGTACTTCGAGGCACCATCTGTGATTTCCTTAGGACTGGTGAGCTTAGTAATGCTCCTTCGCCGCCTCATTAGTGGCTGCAGCACAGTACCTACAGGCACCAAGGCACCAGGCCTGTGATCGACCCATCGATCAGCACTTTGAGAGCGCCTATAACGCAAATTAGCCACGCCAACCTTGTCCTTACGCGAACGACCGTCCTGACGTCCAGGAGTTTTCGCTGGAGTAGGCTGGTGCTGAGGCTGAATTTCCTCGTCGTTTGAATCTTTGATCACAGGAATCGTGCCAGGATCATCGCTATCTAGAATCTGCTTGACGAGTCGCAGCTTGTCATCCTTCTCCCTTATTTGATTCTTAAATTTAATTTTCATTAGTCAAAAGAGTAAATTAAATGGAATGTACAAACTGTACGACTACAGAAAGAAAACAAAATACCCGAATTCGATCCCGCTGAGCTTTTAATTTCAGCTCGAATTCACGATTAAGTTTTTCAGATGTTTGGTGCATTTTCGTTGTGTATTTTTGTTTGACCATTTGCTCGTCGATCATGCGTTGATTCAGCGCCATATCACGATCTCTTATTTCTTGTTGAAGACTTTTGATGGCATCATTTGCATTATTTAGTTTACGAAGTAGACTGTCGATTTGAGTCTCCGTTTTGCACAAGTGGCCTTCTAGTGCAGCAACTTTTTTCTTCTGTTGTGTGCTAGAAGCTTTTAAGGATGCATTTTCGACCTTTAAATTCATGTTTTCCTGTTCTACCGACATGAGCAGTTTTCTGAAATCATTATCTGAAAAAAAAAAAAAAAAAAAAAAAATTTATTCGAGTGACATTACCTATTCACAAATCAAACTATCAAAAAATAAAACTCACATTTCTGCTCTAAATCAGCGCGTAATAAGTTTTTCTTATTGATTCTTTGTTCTAAAAAGTTTATCAAATTCATGATAATTTGGTCGTTATGCGGACTCGTTATATCAAAGTCTGGGAATTGTGCTCCGAGACTAAAACCAAACGACATAAAAAATTAATACAATCTTTAAGATTAGCTAAAATTCATAAATAATAATATGTCAATGGAGTAAATAAATACCTGTAAACAAGGCCTATATCAACATCTAGACTAGCGGCTTCTGGATGTTCTCTTTCCAATCGCGCACGAGCTTCCTTGAATATCTGTTGAAATTAAGATAAACGTAAATATAATGAAATGTGTGATACAGAGATACACGATTGTTTGTTTTTTACTTACTTTATTTGCTTGCCGTCTACCAGGAGTGAATCCAAGATCTAACTTGGTTACTGTAGGTCTGGCCACTTGCACTTCTTGTGTCATTTCCGCGAATTTCATAACTTGCTGCAGTAGTAAAAAAACGAAATTTTAAAGAAACTTAATACATGTCTCTTGAACAAAAAGTAATTGAGCTTACTTACAATGGTCTCGTCATAATCATCAGAGCGAGGATTCACACAGACGATCATGCGTACTTGTCCCTCACCATCAAAGTAATTTTTGAACAGATGAGTCAACTTGGAGTCACGATACGGTACCATTTTATTAGTGCCCTGCATCTGATTCTCTCTGAGTATTTCAAGACAAGTCCTCAAGGTCATAAGAGAGTTGTTGATATTACCAGCCTCGCGTAAACGCTGTCCAGTATTTTTCGTGCGATTCGTGCGTTCGCTACCAGCAAGATCCACAAGCGACAGTTGACTAACACACACGACTCGTTTGTCCTGGACCACTTGTTCACCGTCACTATCAAGCGGACCTTGTACCAGGCGAATCGTGAACACGTTATGCGATCGACTGGATTCAGCGTTAAGAGCCGTGTGTGCTACGCGCCTTCTACGCTGACCGCGTTGAAACACTTCAAAGGCCTCGTCTGAGCTTTTGACTTCAACTTCCGTTACCGCGTGAACGTACATGTTCTTATTGCCGTCCTCGCGTACTATTTTACTCTGTAGAGACCTAAAAAATGATGGACAATTAAATGAATCCAAGTAAGAAAAGAAATGAATCGTGAATTACTTTCGATGCTTACTTTGTTCTGAGCTCATCCTCATCGAGTAAATCGTACACGCTATTGTTGTAAATTTCAACATATGTGACAAAAACTGCATACACATAATCAGGATCGACATTGATAACTCCCGACTCATCGTGTTCTCTCGCTATTATTCTGTCACTGTCGCTATCGCTATCAATTTTGCGCCTGGGAGTCTTGGGATTTCTGGGTGTCATGATGACAGCATGAAGCTCATTCTGCCTGTCGACCATGGCATCGGTCTCGTTTTGCACGTCAAAGCCGTTGAGCTTGTCAGGCTTGAAGACAAACTTTTTGGCCTGATAATTGGTTATACTGTTAAATATAACATCCAGACACCTGGGCATGATCCCACTGTCATTATTTTCTCCAGTCATGGTGTAGGTCTTGCCACTTCCTGTCACTCCATAGGTGAAAAGCAATCCATTCTTGCCGTGAATCAAATTATCCACAAGTGGCAGTGCCACCACTTGGAACACCTCCCTCTGGGGCACATTTTCATTAAAAACACGTGTAAAGGTAGTCTGTATCTCCTTCTGTCCGTTCCTAAAGTTCATAGCAGACTCTGGAGGAGTAATGACAATAGTGGTGTCCGAGATGACCTTCATGCAGGCAACATCGTTGATGAACGGCATGGGCCGTAGACGGCAAAACACCTGCACTGGGTCCTTGGACAGCATGTTGTTGCTGTTTTGCTTGGGACGCCCCAGCTTGCGCGCCGAAGGCGGGGCCTGCTTCCGCCTGCAACAATCGAGTAGGATCAGTTAAGTTTTTAAACGAACGGGCACACTTATAAACAAAACGAGAGAGCAAAGAATCGGAGTCAGACATGAGATTGGAGTGAATCAAAGACAACGAAGAGAAAGAGGTTACTTGTTGGGTGTAATAAACATAAATTAGTCCCCAAAGGGCCATTACATCTTGGTAATGCTACAATGCGGATGTGGGTAAGCGTATCGTTTTACCACTGAGCACAGCAATCATGTCGTTACATGGTTTTAATGAAATAAAGTGTACGAGTACTCACGCAGACTTCATTTTAGCTGCTGGTAGTCGATCTTTTGGACGAAATGCACTCTTTTGCGTATTGGAAAATCACTCGCGAAACGAAAAATCGTCGAAATAACTAGCCCAACTACTCATTTTCCAACGGCCGTGTTCGCCATCACAGTTGTATGTTTTGTTGACATCGGCGTGTGCAGAGCGCCAGAGAGCGGTTCGAAAATTTGAAAGGCGTCTCTGGACAAGTTCAACTCGACGACTCTCCAATCAGAAGCCGTGAAAACTCGCAAAATGCCGCGCTCTCATGAGCGCAGACGCCTTTTTTGCGTCAGGGTCACGTGGTATGGTTAGACGCGCGCGATTTGAAAGTTGTGATTGTCTAAAAACGAAAAGAATTTAAGTTGAACAGGTGGTTCGGTAATTCGCGTACATGTAAAAACAGAAAGGAACTTCTAACAGGAAAAAATTACTTGAGTTGCGCGAAAAATCTACTTTTGAACGTGTCCATCATATCATAAATTTTTTATCGTGGTTTTTTTTTTATCATCCAACTTTTACCCTACATATCTCACTTGGAAGGTGTATGTGCCAACTGCAAAAACTACTATATATGTATTGTGAAAATCAGCGAATGCTCGTAAATATTTAGAGCTCCGAATTCAAAGTCATAAGAATCAATCTTTCGATGTTTTCAAGTTTTGATGTAGAAAATTTGTGAGCATACACTTGAAAGGTCAACGAGTAAATCATACTTTTGATAGCTGCAAAATCGGATCGACTGCAATAAATATGGCTGAGTCTCAGACGATGTTGCGGCTGCATTGCACAATAATACTTCATCATGATATTAATTATTGCAGGTATTTTTATATAACATAATATATTACTGTGATATTGCGTAAATAATACATTTTTCACTCATCGATCATCATATAGTTATATACATAGATATTAACATTGTGGATACGCGGCTAAAACATATACATTTCTGCAACATATTAATTCCGTTATTCTTGCACCTTGAAACTCGTAAATTAAACTATTTTAGATGTATTAAACAATACGATACTGCAATTTAAACCCGAAATACCGTATGAATATAATTATTTATTTATCCTACATAATGTATAATATAATTTTTGTATTCAAGTATAATCACGTAAAACACGAATTCAACGGAAAAAACAAACGGTAATGATATAAATAAAATCGCACAAAGTAGAAATATTTCTAGAAAATTCTTCACGTAACACAAAATATAATGTATATATACTATGGCGCACTCTTATCTTGTGAGCCTGGAAAATTTTGGAAAAGTTTTGAAAGAGGGGGGGGGGGGCTTTGGTAATAGATGGGGAAAAAACAGTAGTAAGTATATCACACGTACTCTGTTATTTCTGTCTCAATGAGGGAGAAGCGAATGAGGAAGAGAGTTTCCGTAAGAAATTTTGCAACGTTGCAGTAGGATAAGACCATGAACCTGCGGAGTCACCGTCTCGAGCTGACAACACACACCGGCAATCAGGTTGTCGAGTGCGTTGAGGCCATCTTCCACACGATCTTCATAAACCGGGCAGTAGGCAAACTGAGCTACAAAACGGAGTCAACCTTCCGGGAGGCATGCCAGCGCTTCGAGGACGTAGACTGCGACTTTGTGGATCTCAGCTACGCGCGCCTCGAGTCCCCGAGGCTGGCCGAGACGGTCAGGACAGCGAGCACCAGTTTCGCTGACGAGTTATACTCGGCGCAGGATGAGGCGAAATCGACGGAAACGATCACAGGGGAGATCAGTTTGGAGTTTCTGCAAAAGAGGCCCGTCGTGGGCATGATGAGTCTCTTCCGGACCAACGTGCCCGTCGTTTGGGAACGGTGGAGCGTCAACGTCGGTCTCAGCCTTGCGTCCAGGTCTTGTGGCCAACAAGCGATTCTACGGGAAAACGTCAGCGACGCTCTTTGCGAGCGCCTGATCGCGGTATCCCGGCTCACCTGCTCGGACGACTGCTATCTGCCCAAGATGCCCAAGAGGGACGAGGTTCACTTGGTTTTCGATGCGAGTTTTGGCGACTATCTGTATCCGTATCTCTTCAAAATCAGCCATGGGATCGATTCGCCTCTGGCAATGCGGCTAAGGATTTTGCGGCCCAATTGAAGAAAATCTCTTACTCTTGTGACATATATATATATATATATATA